AATTCTAGAGAAATAGTTGCAGGTCAGTTGCGTGAACATCTGAACAGAAATAATCTGAAGAGTTTCAGTCAGGGTTTAGAGCTCACCACAGCACTGAATCTGCACCGGTGAAAGTTACTAATGATATTCTCATGGCCTCTGACAATGGACTTGTGTCTCCACTGGTCCTGTTAGACCTCAGTGCTGCATTTGATACAGTTCATCACAATATTTTACTACAGAGACTTGAATATGATGTTGGAATTACAGGAACGGCACTAAATTGGTTTAAATCATATCTATCTGATAGATTCCAATTTGTCAATGTAAATAATCTTATTCATACCCCAAAGTTAGTCATGGAGTTCCTCAAGGTGCAGTGCTTGGACCACTACTCTTTATCTTGTATATGTTTCCATTAGGTAAAATTATTAAACGGCATGGGATAAATTTTCATTGTTATGCTGATGATACTCGGTTATATTTGTCCAATGAATGAAACCCAATGAATCCAATCAGCTACTTAGACTACAAGCATGTCTTAAAAATCTGGATGACCCTTAATTTTCTCCTGTTGAACAGACAAGACTGAGGTTTTAGTTTTTGGACCTGAGCATCTTAGGAATGAATGTTTCAGTCTTTCTCCCTCCTTAGATGCATTAATCTGTCCTCCAGCTCTAATGTTAAAAATCTTGGTGTTATTTTTGATCAGGACATGTCTTTTATCCCCCACATTAAAAACGTTACTAGAACCTCCTTCTTCCACCTGCGTAATATCACTAACATTAGAAACATCTGATCTAAAGATGATGCAGAAAAACTGGTCCATGCATTTGTCACGTCTAGACTGGACTATTGCAATGGTTTATTATCTGGGTGTCCAAATACTTCTTTAAAACGTCTTCAGTTGATCCAAAATGCTGCTGCCAGAGTCTTAACTGGAGTTACTGGGAGAAATCATATCTCTCCAGTTTTAGTTTCTCTCCATTGGCTCCCTGTCAAATCCAGAATATAATTCAAAATCTTACTTCTAACCTACAAAGCTCTCAACAACCTAGCTCCATCTGATATTACAGATCTTATTGTTCCATATTTTACTAACAGAGCACTTAACTCTTAGACTGCAGGTTTACTCGTAGTCGGACATGGAGAGTTTTTATCTTTTTGAATCTCAAACATTCCTCATATACGACGTCAAGTGTTTTTTTTTTTTTGTATTTGTACTGAACCAGACCACCGTAAAGTCCTGTTCTTCTGCCAACAATGCCGTATTTTGTGTGGCTCTACTGGTTGATATCAAGTGCCGTTTTGCTTTTTACGTCCAAATAAATAATTTTCTTGAACGAGATGAGAAACAATAA